TGAAGGTAGCCATCGTGGGACCGCTCACCCAAGGTACTCTGTCTTTTGTGCAGCAAACAAGATTTCCGTAGAGATTGCCCGTGTGTCCCTCAACTTCGTACTCATGCCCAAGGGGGCCCTCGTTACTCGTCTGCACAACGAGAGTCCCAATATTTTCTGTGACAACAATTTTTTCACGAGCTTCCCTCTTCCTGTCCATCTCGAATGTGAAGCCTCCGCCGACCAGTTTCTCCACTGTCACGCCTGCCGATATCTCTTCCCGCCTGCTGATTGGCGACAATGACGAAGTGAACTCCCCACAATCTGCCCAACCGAAGAAGTAGCATTTTTTATGCTGCAAAGGAAATGTAATCTTGACTGACCGGATGTAGAAGCGATCATCTGTTGGGACAAGGTAGACGGTAGAGTTCGGCTCGCATCTGAACTGGGCACTTGGGTGACAGTGCATAGGCACGAGTAATTTTGCATATGTGAGTGCACTACGCTAAAAGCTAGTGTAAGATCTTTCGAGTGTTTTGAGTTGAGAGAATGAAAGTTATGAGAGGATTAGAAAGCTATGAAACTAATCAACGAGAGAGATCCACATCAAAGGATCGTAGATGAACTCCGCGGGAGACTGTAGAGTGAGATAGAGTGGTTGCGGTAGCAATCTCTCGTTCCACGATCCAAAAACGGGAACGCGTGGAAGATTCGTCTAGCATTATCTAGTAGTGTGCTGAAGTACTCACGCTGGCAAATATCTAAGCGATGCCCCAGTGTCCGAGGATTCGAGGCGTTACATGCCTTTCATTTAGTTTTCCGGAACAGATATTGGCACTGTGTGGCATACATGTATCCAGCCTCCGGACATTACAATATGCAAGCTGCTGTGCAAACTTACAGGTGATAAATCTAAAATCTATGTGCATGAACCTTTGTTCTTAGACGTTCTTGATGCCCCACATCACATGAGGGGTCAGTTGAATTTGGTGCCATAATTTGGTGCCGGTGCAGTTCTCCTGCACCGCCCTTGCACCGCACTGCACCAAAATTAGGGGCACTTCAACTAGCGTAACTAGAGTGACTGACGTAACTAGCGTAACTAGCGTAGGGTAACTGACGTAACTGGCGTGCAACTGACGTAACTGGCGTAGAACATTGGAGGATGACAACGTGGTCGTCATTTCAACTAGCTTTGTGCTGTAAACAACTCTACAGAGACAACAAAGCAACCACAGAGGTGTTTACAATGAGTTACACCTACCTTTTTAAGCTTTCGCAGCTTTTGAATCACTGCACCCCCACCTCGTTTTCACTTTTCATAAAGCTCTGAAGCAATGCAATTAGGTGTCAGTGGAATTAATGATTAGTAGATAAAAGCTACTTGTAACTCAGCCATTGATAGCTACAGTAGCGCAATAGTTCAGCAGCAGCATGTGCACCTGTACTGAGCCAACAAGTGAGAGAGTCTTAATACTGAGGGTTTTAAATTTTTACTTTCCTCATTTTTACATATTTAGGAAATTTGCTCTATTGTACGAGCTGGCTTTATTGGGTCTCACACAATTGACACAAGTGGTACTTTGACATTAAGTCTTTGAGTCTCTCACTGGTCAAATTGTGGCTACTCGTTAAATATTTTAAGAGCATTAGGTTCTCATAAGGACTTAACAACTTCAACTGACGTGGAAGGTGCCATTCTCCCAAAGGAGCACTGCACCAGCAAAATGGCACCAAATTCACCCCACTCCACATGAGCGTGCCGCTGGAAGGTCCTGCCTTTGATGAAAATCTGAAATCCAATTCATCAGGGTCTGATCCGTACTACCGGAATCACAAGATCACAAGTGAGTAATATATGATGAAGGAAGAAGTTGCTCAAAGCAGAAGCAATGGCGATAGTGATAACTTGCCCACGTTATCGGAAACACGGACAGCAGCTACCAATGTTGGCGGAAATGCTGAGACTCTTGAAACGAACAACGGCGGTGTTGACGCTGATGACTTGTTGCCTATTCTGGTTCAGAAAGGTGTTGTTTTGTCCCAAGGTGCCGCCAGCAGTGAGATGGGTGTTTCGCGTCTCAATGAGGAGGTAAGAAAATCGCCTTCTGCTTCTGCCAGTACCACCTCCTCGTCCAAACCAAAATTAAATGGTATGGGTCACATTGGCATCGGAGTTCCTAAAGAAACGGACAATAGTCAGTGCCGGCACCCGGCGCTGACTAGTATTATTGAGACCGCCGAGGAGATACCACAGACGACGTTCGTCTGCACCAGTCGCCAGGGTGAGCTACGTAGACCGTAGACCAGGTGCCTTCGCTGCTTTTCCCGCCATGAGAGACTCGAATGAGTCTGTATCATGGGGAGAATCACTAGGAGACACCGACTCGGTGTCGGGCGAAAATACCAGTGCACCCGCGGAGCGTCTTTCCGAGGCAAGACCAGTGACTGAGGATGATGAGAGGGTCAATCTCCCAGATGCTGTTCCGTATGACGAAGATACTCTCGACTTGGGCCTACAACGACGCAAACTAGAGAGAAACAAGACTCTCGGATACCTGATTCTGCTATTGATGTTTGGCGTTGTTTCCATCGTTGCGGTGGTGGCGGCTAAAGTGTCGTCATCCGCTCATCACAAAAACGAAGACAAGACACCGGTGCTTCGGACGTCGACACCCTCGTCTGGGTCATCAAGCTCTTCCCCTTCCATGGGACCCACGATGGCACCAACATCTCTGCTGGCCATGAATCTCCTTGCGCCCAGCACATCAATGGCGGTTGCAACGCCGATGTCGCCACAAAACAGGGCATATCAGTGGCTGTTGGAACACCCTGATGTGGACGATATGGCAGAATGGAGAAAGGTACAACTGTTTGCACTGGCAACACTCTTCTACAACTTTCATGGAGATGAATGGTTGGCTGTCATCAAGAGTGACTTTCTGGTTTACGGAAAATCAGAATGTGATTGGTACTCGGATATTTTTGCTGTCGTTCTTTACAGCTTCATGAAGGGAGAGTATAATATCACAGGCAAGAGCACGAATGATACCACTTGTAACCAGTATGGTGTTTTCACCAGGCTCCATGTGCACCTGCCAGGGCAAATGGCTGGCTCGGGAACAACTTCCATGCCACCTGAGATTGCTCTGTTACCAGCACTTGAAGAAATCAACCTTGGGAATATTGGCATCAATGGTCACATTGAGCACTTCCTAGTGCCAGAGTTGAAACAATTGACCAGCATCAAGAGGATTGGCCTTGCCAGCAACGGCCTCACTGGGCCCATTCAAGATTCTGTTTTTGATTGCCTGCCAACTGCATCTGTTGAAGAATTCACCATTTGAGGCTCTTCCATCTCTGGCACTATCCCAAGTGGCTTCCATTTGCTGACCAATCTCAAGAGGTTGGAGTTATTGGCTGATTTCTCCGGTACTATACCTTCTGAATTGGGCATGCTCAGCAAGATGGAGTATCTCAGTTTGGAAACAAACACTCTTTTGAGTGGAACCATTCCTGACGCGCTCTATGGACTGCCAAACATGAAAGAGCTGAATCTTTTTCAGACCAGAATCTCTGGCAGCCTCTCTCTAGACTTAGGCCAGTGGACAAACTTGCAACACTTGGAAATTGGAAGCTTTCTCACTGGGTCCATTCCACCTGCTCTTGGCAGTCTGAGCCACTTGGAGAAACTGAAGTTGGATGGGAACAGTCTGACAGGTACACTTGTCCCACTACACCCCCTCAGTCGCCTACAACACTTGGAATTGGCAGAGAATCAGCTCAGTGGATCTATTCCTGCTGATTTCTTCTCAATCCCAGCCTGGAAGAGTACACTATGGAAGCTTCATCTGCAGGGCAACCTCCTCACAGGAAAGCTACCAGATGAGATTTGGACTCTCACCCAGCTCCAAACTATACGACTGTCAAATAATTTGGAACTCACAGGCAGCCTTCCAGAGGGCCTTCAAGGGTTAACAACCCTCATCAGGCTAGATCTCAGCAACAATGCTTTCACTGGGACCATTCCCTTTGGAGCTTTTAGCAACAGCAGCAGTCAATTTAGAACTTTCCATGCTTAAGGCAACAGGTTTAGTGGCATGATTGCTACTGACATTGGACTTTTGACATCTCTGTCAGACCTGAACTTGGCCCACAACCCTGGTATCGCGGGCCCCGTACCCATTGATATTGCAAACTGTACTCGGTAAGTTATTCGGTATCAATACAAGAGCTGTTATCAGATTATGATCTTTTTTTTGCCTCTCAGCCATTCGAATTGTGGACTCGACTCCTTTTGCTTTTCCAGAATGAAGGTTCTACAGTTGCACAACACCAGCGTCAGCGGTGCAATCCCTTCGGAGCTTGGGTTACTCTTGTCGCTCCAAACTGTTTTCCTTCAAGGGACCCTGCTCAATGGCTCCGTGCCCCATGAAGTTTGCTCATTGCGTGATGGCCGCCTCAAGAGTATGGTGGTCAACTGCGCCGTGGTTGCATGTCATTGCAACTGCACTTGTGGATGAAGTACGGTAGTTATCAAGCTGCCGGTACCACCAGTACAAGAATAGAATTAAATAAAGCTAGATACTGTAACCATTCATGATACCCTGTCCATGCAGGTTCCTCGATCGTCCTGCATAGTCGTACCAGTACCTGGTAGATATTTCCGGTCCGCTTCGTTCTACATGTAACTGTTGCTTTGTTCAAAGAGAAAAAATTGATTCCGGAGTTGTTGGACGGTCGATTCGATTCCATTCCATTCCCTTGTCATGGGGTTCAAAGCGAACAATGTTCAATTCAATAGTTGCCACTCACCACACATACATACTCGTACCCATTTTCATTGCGTAAGCTGGCTGGAGCTCCAAGTGAACCCATTGGCTTCCACTTCGGCAAGGATAGCCATGTGGAGGCCTATTTTAATGAGCCATCAAGACCGGGTGACAGTCATCAAGATGAGATGTTGATGGCCAAACGAACAGCCCTCCCAGCAAGGCCGGGTTTTCGTTCGTATCCATACAGTACACTAGACTACCCTGGTGTTGCGGTTTTGCGTGTTGATGATGAGGTGGCGGAAAGCCAGCTTTTACACGCCACACGCGGATCAGGGAGGAAGGCTGGAAGCTGGAAGGCAATGCGTGAGACCTCAAATCTCACCGCGAGATTTGAGGACGAGCTGCTAGTCGTACAGTAGCTCACGAGCTACCGGTACAGAGCTGAAGAGAAAGCTAACTGGTACCGGTAGCTGGTAGTCTAGCTACAGCAGAGAATGAGGAATGAGCTAGAGCTATTAAATAGAGACACACGTTTACGCGGTGCTCATTATTTATTTAACGTTTCTGGGAATGGCTAGCGGTGATTGTGATGTTAAATCGTTTTCCTCCAAGTTGAACTGTTTGGGGTGTAAGCTTCAGAAAGCTTTACATTGTACATCACCACTGCGCGAACAGGGAGACTTAGTGAATGGCCATTTCTTTCTGAGTATTGATTTAATGGACTTCTCCTTCAACAACCTTTGTTAAAGCATTTAGGTGAACAGAAGAGGTAATGAGTCATGCGAAGCACTCATGCGAACCATTTGTCGTTAAATCCGAGCTAATCACGGTCTTCATTCCAGGGAAGGTACCTAAATCTGTGGGGGCAGGGTGGCTTCTCATGGCATAGTGGTCAGAATTAGGGGGAAAATGGTTAAAACAGTCCTTGAATCTGTCAACCATTAATTAATATTCAAAAGTCTCATTAATTAATTCTAGATCTTACGGTGCGTGTATTAGGACCCCAAACAATAATGTTAACTATTTAATAATGACCACGCTCAGCTTGATGACAGTCAGCAGTGCCAGTTTCTCCCTCGAAGAAAATCCACCTTCTCCTTCCGGTCAGTTCTTTCAGCTGTTGACAAAAGCTTCCCAGAGTGGCACAACGATATCGACCAACGCGTTCACAATTTCCTCCGCGAAGACGCGAAGACCTCCAGAAGATTTCACCAGTGGCCAACCTATCTGCTGCAACCTGGACCAGCCGGGTTGGTGATAAGCAAACGAAAAGCTTTCATAAAACTTCCTCGCCTCAAAGTCAAAACGCTCCAGTGCTGACTTCTTTGTTTGCAAAAAGACGTCTTCGTTTGCTTGCCTCATTCTTGTCAAAGAAAAATTGATCGACTCTGGACTCTGACTCCACTTTGATTGGTATTTCCTCGTCTGCATTTCCTTTCTCTGTTTGCTTGACTTTTTCTGATTTCTTTTTGGAACAGATCGACCATGGCACCCTCCTTCACCGAGTCCAACGGCAAAGATACGGCTGAGTTCGACGAAGAGGGCAGCGTGAGTGGTGAATACGCTTCCTCCATCTTCAGCAGTAATACCAAGGTTGCATCGAGCCGTGGCGGCGATGACGACACTCAGTCCTTTCGGATTGCCGAGAAGGAATCTCGCCAAGTCTTTTGGCAGCGTCTGTTTGTGACCGTCATGTTGATCTCGGCGACGGTCGCTGTCTCCTTGGCGGTCTACTTTGTCACGTCCAATGCCGAAGAGCAGGAGTTTGAAGCTCACTTTCAAGGAGGCGCCTACAAGATTGCCTCGTCCTTTGAAGCCATTATGATTGAAAAGATGGGGGCTGTGGGATCTCTCTGTTTGGCATTGACTGCCAGTGGCAAAAAGACCAGTCATGACCCCAGCACCAACACCAACGATCCGAACAAGAAGAAACACACCTGGCCCTTTGTCACCATGGATTCCTTCCATGAACGAGCTGCATCTGCCAGGATCCTGAGCAATGTCCTTCACATGTCGGTCTTGCCACTGGTCACGGAAGACAATCGCGTGCCATGGGAAGATTACTCTGTCAAGAACGGAGAGTGGTACGCCGAAGGATTCGCCTATCAGCAAGCCATCATTGAGAACGGATTCTCTCTCCAAGGAGCCGTGACTCACAACAGCGGAGATGGTGCAGATGGAAGAGCACTTCAAGAATCCAATGGGACAGAGACCACCACCACCGCGAATGCAACGGCAGAGGAGGAAGAAGAAGAGTTCAATCTCTTCATCCCTTTCATATACGAGTTCACCGAGTATTGGGACATTGCCCCTCCATCCAATGAGTCCGCTCCCTTTGCTCCCGTCTGGTACGTGACACACACGCCGCTGCGAATGTCGGCAATGTCGTTCCACCTTCTCACTTTGCTTTCCCTTCTCCCACCTATACCTGACAGGCAATCTGCCCCCACTACCGTCCGCGATGGTATCAACTTGAACGTTAGGTCCTTTACAGAAGGAAAGATTGGAGTGGATACCGCACACTCTACCGGAGAACTCGCGCTACGTGGTTTCATGACATCCGAACCTGGAAACTCCACCAGCGAAGATGGTCTCACTGCCTGGTACGCAGAGCTTCTCAGTACCCACGCGGGAAAACCTGTCTACTACAATGGAGACCCCCTCAGCGAGGCTGCTTATCCCATTTTCGCGGACTTTGATGATGAAAATGACAATGGGGAACGGGAGGTGGTGGCCGTCATGAATGCTCAGTTCTCGTGGCAAACCTACTTTGAAGGACTACTCCCGGACACCAACCGTGGCTTTCTCGTGGTCTTGACCAATGAATGTGATGGTTCCTTCACCTATGTCATCAACGGCGCCGAGGTGGATAAACTGGGGTTTGGTGACCTCCACGACCCCAAGTTCGATCACATGAACGTGTCCACTTATCTGCAAGATGGGTTGACCATTCACGATGGATCTGCCACCGGTGTCAAGCTCAACCAACGAGGATGCCCCTACTCGCTTCATGTGTACCCCTCGCAAGAGATCATGAATGAGTACATCACGTCCATGCCCATTATCATTACGGTTTGCATCGTCTTCATCTTCCTTTTGACGGCAACCAGCTTTGTCGTGTACGATCGGCTCGTCGAAAAGCGGCAAAAGGTTGTCGTCACCACAGCAAAACAGTCTACCGACATTATTGGAAGTCTCTTTCCGGAAAATGTTCGTGACCGGCTCCTCCAAGATCCCAACCGAGGTGACTTGCTCTCGCCCAATCAGCGTGTCAAGTCTTACTTGAACAGCTCGGGCGGCGGTGGCGGCGATTCTTTCTTCAACGATTCTATGAAGCCCATTGCTGGTACGTTCTGGTACACAGTCATCAGTCAACTGAACTGGATAGTGGCGTGTTCTTTCTGTGACCAACTATATATTCTCACCTCTTTGATGCTCCCAATTCCACCGCTACCCTTTCACAGACCTTTTCCCAAACACGTAAGCCACGCGTTGCTTCCTGCCGTCAATTTGGTTTCCTGCTTTATGACTTACGATGAAATCTATTTTCTGTACCGCCCAGCACCGTCATGTTCGCCGATATCTCAGGCTTCACAGCCTGGTCCTCAACCCGAGATCCTTCCCAAGTTTTCATGCTCCTGCAGCGCATCTATGGAGAATTCGATGAGGTTGCAAGGAGGAGGAATGTGAGTCAGGGGGGTTGAGTAAGCAGTTACATTGGCATCAAGGAATATCTCACACTCAATACGTGTCTTTCCATCCCTTCATTTATGTAGGTGTTCAAGGTGGAAACGGTAAGAATCAATTTGAGGTCTACAAACCTGGTGCCACATCAGGAATTCCACTGGCACTGTACCAGCACTCTGTATAGCATGGCTCAAATTACCTTTGTTCGCGTTTTGTAGATCGGGGATTGTTATGTTGCCTGCGCCGGTCTTCCCAACAAGCAACCAAACCATGCAGCAATCATGAGCCGGTTTGCCTGGGAATGCAAGTCGAAGCTGGCTGTCATCCTGAAACACCTTGAAGTGTCCTTGGGACCCGATACTGGTAAGTCTTCTGTTCAACAACGGTGCCAGCAGGCACAACATTTAAAAAACGAAGCTCAAACATGCGTTGATTCGATTCTGTCAAATGATTTAGGAGACCTTTCCATGCGATTTGGGCTTCATTCGGGGGCTGTCACTGCTGGGGTGTTGAGGGGTGATAAGGCGAGGTTCCAACTCTTTGGAGACACGGTGAGTGAGCTGCAGCATGGAGTGGATTAGAGTGTATGAGTGTTCCTAATGTCAAGTCTTCTCGGTTGGTCTGGTCTCTAGGTCAACACGGCTGCAAGGATGGAGCAAACGGGTGTAAGTTTTAGGTTGACCCGGTGGTGGCCTTTGCTACATGTACATGAGATGCTAACTAGTGACATCATGTCCATCTTTGTCCAACCCTTCAAACAGGTGCCAGAGAAGATCCAAGTCTCACACGCCACTGCTAATCTGCTCACTGCAGCCGGCAAGGGTCACTGGCTTGAAAGTCGGGACGACTCCATCGTTGCCAAGGGTAAGTCTTCCAATGATGGAAGGATGTGGAGTTTTATTCCATCGCCCTCACAAACCACGCCTGCCTCATTTCATCCAACCATTTCAGGCAAGGGAGTGCTCAACACTTTCTTCGTGGACCCAACTCGCCAAGAGGACGGTACCACATCTGCAAAGGTTTCTTCTCGTGTGGCAAAGTCTGCCTCTGAGATGAAGGCGAAGAAGCAGAAGCGCCTCGTCCAATGGATGACAGAAGTGTTGTTGGAACGTCTCCGCCAGATAGTCGCCCGCCGAGACAAGGTGCAAGGTGGAAGCTTTAAAGAGGAGGCTCAAGCCAATAAGTCCGCGCCAACAACAGCAGCTGCCTCGGTGGGCAGTGGAATCCCAATGGACGAGGTTGTCGAGGCTATCAAGTTGCCAGACTTCGATGACAACGCGGTGACTGAAGAAGACCTGTCATTCGTACATATCCCTGAAGTTGTCGTCGACCAGCTGAGAGCGCACGTAACAGCAATCGCAGAAAGCTACCAGGACAACCCGGTACGTTTCCCGAAAACGTGGTGCTGATTGCAGCCCCCGTACACTGCGCTCACACTTTCCATCCCACGTTTCCTCCAAAAACAGTTTCACAACTTCGGTAAGCTTCTGGAGGAGGACTTCTTAGCCCTTCCCTCGCCCTTCTTCTAATGACGTTGCCTCCCTGCTTTCGCTTGCTTGCAGAACATGCTTGTCACGTCACCATGTCTACCACAAAGTTCCTTGGAAGAATCGCTTCCATGGAAATCGATCTTCCCACACTCCAGGGCAAGGATGCTCGTGCAGCGGTTGCTTCTCACATCCACGGTACGCTTGTCCAGTTCATCCTTGGATTGAATCTCCTTGACAGCTTGATATCTCACCACGCTGTGTGCACCTGCATAGATTACACCCATGGAATTTTGTCCGACCCATTGACGCTCTTTGGAATCGTCTACAGTTCCCTCATCCATGACTGCGACCACGCTGGGGTCGGCAATGCCCAAACCATCAAAGAAAATCCAAAAATGGGTGAAAAGTATCAAGGAAAGAGTGTTGCGGAACAGAACTCGCTGTAAGTACTGGGTTTGTTTGTCAGGAAGTTGAACTTTTTCTTCCTTCCGTTGCTAATGTTGAAACATCGTTTGGTTTACAGTGACATTGCCTGGAATCTGCTCATGTCGGAACGTTTCGCAGAACTGCGAGCCCTTTTGTTTGCCAATGACAAGGCAGAGATGGCACGGTTCCGTCAAGTCGTGGTGAATATTGTATTGGGTACGTCAAAGTGCTCTTCTTGCTATTGGTTTGTGCAATTGCAGTTTTGTGGCCATTGTACCTCATCCTCTTGTGCCTATCGCTTTCCCTTCTCGCTGCCTAAACTTTTTGCAACACCAGCCACCGACATCTTTGATAAAGAACTGAATGGATTGAGAAAGGGACGCTGGAACAAGGCTTTTGAAGAGAGCGCAGAGGGCTCAAACAGCCATTTGAGAGCAACAATCGTTCTGGAGCATATCATACAGGTGCGTGCAGGAAATTGCGTGTCACGTCTATTATAATGGAAGCATGCCGCTTACACATCATCTTTTCCTGCATCTCCTCTGCAGGCAAGCGATGTCTCGCATACAATGCAACACTGGCATATCTACCGAAAGTGGAACCGCCGCGTAAGTGATCAGCATCAGACCAGTTTTGCTTGCAGTCCCCACCAGGTCTCCCGTCTCCCCACTCACGCTGTCCCACCCCTTCCTCGATAGCTCTTCTTGGAGATGTATTCCGCTTACAAGCAAGGGCGAATGGGGGCTGACCCGTCGTCATTCTGGTACAAAGGAGAACTGGGCTTCTTCGACAACTACATCATCCCTGTAAGTTTCAACGTGTCCATCTCGAGCAGTCGTTGGTTGACAGTTTACTCACGACTTTGCCTCCTTCCATCAACATAGCTCGCCAAGAAACTTGAAACTTGTGGCATCTTTGGAGTCAGTAGCGACGAATGCTTGACCTACGCACAGCAGAACAGGCAAGAGTGGGAAGCAAGGGGGGAGGAGATTGTCCAAGAACTGGTTGAAGAGGCGCAAGGTGGCCATGTAGATGTTGTGGACGAAACCAACCCCAAGAGTGTGGATGTTTAGAAGAATTTTTTCACACTCGCTCCACCACGCATCCTCTCCCTCCTTCCGTCTCCGCTGAGTTCTCCATCCCTCCCTCTCCCTCCTTCCCTCGAGTTCGTAGCTTCCAGGTTCTCTGACATTGAACTACGGTATCCAAACCCTTCCCCGCACACTTGTGGAACCACCTTTGGGACCCCCTCCCCTGAATATACACTTTCGTTGGTAATACATATATATTCATCACATCTACCGCTCTAACTAGCCAGCTAGATTGAAAACACAAAACTAGACAATTGTTAGGCCAGTTCCAGGGGGCTAACGGTACAGTCGTACGGTTGCCAGGACAAGGAATTTCCAGGCGAAGTGACCCCAAGTTTTTGGACACATTGGCTTGAAAGGCAAGCGTTTGGTTGTATAGCAGCAGGAGCTCTTTCGTCTGGCTCGCACCTCGCTTCTGCCCGACCGGTACTCTTCACTTTTCCTTGTGTCTGTTGGGGATTCGCGATTAGGGATTCAACCCCTGTACCTCTGTACTAGAATTTCACAGTAGAAATACAGAGCCCACCCACTTTTTCAGTAGTATCTCAATAGCAAGTAAACTAGAGAGCTTAGAGCAACTAACATACTACTGAAAAAGCGGTCTACAATCGATATCGAAGAAGCGAAGCAGTGAAGAGGAGCCTATCGAGTCAACGGTAGCAGGAGGAAGATCGCGACGCGAGAAGAAGATCGATAGAGACCAAGCCTGTCGTTTCGACAGCAACGACGCAATCGGCCGACGCCGAACGCGACGCAAGAACGGACGACCGAGGATCGTCGTGCCGAACAAGAGAAGACTGTCGAAGGATCGACAGCACCGAAGAGAGAAGCCTGTCGAAGCAACGACAGCAACAAGGACTCGAGGACGAGTCCAAGCCGCGACGAAGCAAGGATCCGAGGACGGATCGCGACGACGCGAGAAGAGACTGCAGCCGCCGTCGACGACGACGCAGCAGAGTTTCACCGGCAGAATCCACAAGAAGAATGCACAAGGATTGCCGATAGGAGAGCCGACGCATCCAGCCGGAACTGTTCAGAGCCAACAACAAGCGCGAAAGCATAGTGCCAGCGCAGGGCCAAAGGAAAGGCACCCAACAAGGAATCAACAATACAAAGAAACGGGTTCGGAGTGGACGACCGCACAGTGTGTGAAGCAATCGTTCCCTCCCTGCAAGATCTTTAGTAAATAGATTTAACACTCCCTGCCAGGAGTATAATTTGAGTTTATCGCCCCATAGCCTAAGACGAATAAGTAGTCGACGAGAACTTAAATTAAGAGCTAGTCAATCAAAAACAACGAATTGAAATAGTCCACCTACCGTAGCATAGACAATGAGCGGTAGAGGAAAGACGAGGTGGCCGAGGAGGCGGCAAACACGAGGGCATGGAAGAACCGCCCATCGTCGAACCAGCAGAAAGGTTCATGCAAAGCCCTCGACCAACATGTGTTTAACTTCGGTACAACTGGATCTGAACGGCAGACCAGATGATACGCACATGGGAGAAGATCGTCATCCACGTGGACAAACGATGGGTGACGACATGAGCAATAGATACGCAACCTGAAACAGACAGTGTTGGTAGCACGTGTACTCAGAGGAGACCCGGAAAGGCTTGACGGCAGCGGACGACGTGAACAGAAAACCTTCGTCTCCTAAGGCGACCGAGGAAAGCCTGAGCTACTGGAAGAGAGATAGCAGAGGTCATAGAAAACCCAACTCTCGGTAGCTACGCACACTACGATAGAGAAAGCAAAACTCGGAAATGAAATAGCCAACCTCACTGCAGCCATAGAAGATCCACCGGACGAGGAACTCGGGGACTCGAGAAAGCAGATATGGAGGGCTGATGAAGACCCACCTTACGAGGTTGGCAAAACTACAAAGAAATAGAGGCAAAGCATTCAAATTGATCCTAGGGCAGTGCACCGACTATTAAAGGACAAGATGAAGCAGAACACGGACTCGAAGACGTCTGTTAAGATGCGGCCCACTGGAGCTACGAAAATGATCCATAAGACGATTATGGCCCAGACCGATGATATTTTTGTGTACCACACATTTTTCCAACTGGAAAAACAACTGTTGAATTTCCACCAAGGGAGCCTGACCGCTTCCGAATACCACGAGCAATTACCACGAAAAAGGACATTGCAAATCCGTGGGTATTTCCAAGATACACGATGCAGCCCTTCTGCATACGCGAACTACTCCACCAAACACAGCATACGCTGACCTAGAGCCGATGACCAGAAGAAATCTCGGATACGCTGAAGAACGGACTATAGTACATCTTCTTAACAAATAGTTCAGCGAAAATACCAAGCTTAAACAGAACTGAGGGACGACTTTGCCAAAGGCACTGATAACTATCCCCACACGTTACATAGGTATTAACACCTTTTGGACAAACAACCAAGAGTAACACCCCACAAGTCCACTTCCCACGGAAACTCCTTTGCTCAGACAGCACAAGGCGGGAGAGGACGGGGTTGGAAGAGGAAAAGGCCGCGAAACGCGAGCTATGATAAAGATACTGGAAAGAAAAGAATGCTTTTCTGCCACGAAAAGACATCCAGCCCGCACTGTCTGACAAAAATAAAGACAAGTAAAGACAAAGACGACGATGACAGTCTAGGTTCGAGCAAGCGTAGCAAGTCAGCACGTCGAGCAAGAAAAGCTCTAGTAGCGTTCAAGGAGAACCCTAGCTACTATCAGCAACATGCAAGATAAAATGACACAGCACTGACAACCCTGAGAGAGGATAGATGACGACTCTGACATCACGCAGTCAGATGAAGAGAAAGTCGAAAAAGTTTCGTTACGTTCGGTACCGCTGTTCGCGGATGGAACGAAGAAACCGACTCAAAAGGCATAGTCGCCCACAACAAAGGATTGGACGACATAGATATGTGAGAGGTCCAGCTACTGGACAACCAGTCACGTTGATTTATTCTGAAATAAAGACATGGTTACCACATCAGGAAAGCCGATCTCCAATTACAGTGAAGAGTACCGGAGGCAAGTGAAGGTCCAGCACACAGCCAAGTTAGCTGGCCACAAACAGAGAGTATGTTCGATGAAAGAGGAATCACGAAAATCTTATCTGTTAAGAATGTCCGCAAGAATGTCAACATCGTCTATGACTGTCCGAAAGGAACCTACACAGTCATAGACCCGGCCTACCGGACGTAGTATAGAAATGAACAGTGAAGGATTACACGTTCTGACCTAGGAAAAAAGGGAAGGCACTTGTGAATACTGTCGCGAAAATAAGGAAGGCTTAGCAAAAGAAAGTTAAAGCCGCATAAGGGGAAGCTGCTATATAAGCAACTCGTCTATCCATCGATTAAAGATTTTCGATAGGCGATTATGAGCAATCAAATCGCAAACTGCCCTGTGACGTCGAAGACATCGAACAGCACAAGCATATATGGGGAAAGGATATTGATGCTTGAAAGGCAGACCACTCTAACGAAACCGAACGCAGTGGAGGCAATGCAATGAAAGTGCCGAGAGACTTTTGCAATTACACAAGGATGTGTTCCTAACGATGGACATTTTCTTTGTGGCAGGAATTCCGTCCTGTTAACAGCTAAGCCGTAAAATCGATTTTAACAACATCTAGACACCTGCCCAACAAGAAGCTAGAGACCATCCTAGACGCAGTCAGGAGGTCTATCGATTCTACAAAGCCCGTGGTTTTAGAATCACGACCATTCAATGTGGACAATGAGTTTGAGCCTTGTCCAACACAATCATGGCAATGCGGGTGGACCGGTAGTGAACTTTCCAGTGCTAACGAGCACGTACCTGAGATCGAACGTAGAATCGGGTAGTCAAGGAAAGGGACGAGCTGTCCGGCATAGCCTACGTTACACGCATGCAAAAATTTAACCGTCAACTTGGTGTTACAATCGTCAAACAGTTGACGTCTTTCCAAGTAAGGCGGGGGTCAGCGAGACAATGAGCCCCGTATGATAATGATGGTGAGAGTCCCTGGACTATAAAAGCACCTGAGCCTGCAGTATCGGAGACTACTGCCAGGTGCACGAAGAAGACTCGCCCCGTAACAGCATGGTAGGACGCACAAAAGGCGGCCATCTGTATGGGAACGAGCGGAAATAAGCAAGGAGGCTACAAATTTATGAGCTCCGCTCCGGCAAGAAAATTACTCGGCATTCATGGGACAAGATCCCAATGCCCGACACAGTGATAGCTAAGTCAATCTATTAGGAAAAGATCAGCCTAAACTACTCTTTTTACTGATCGGAAAATAGACCCATTGGTGATGTCGAGATCACAGGAGTGGAAGGGGAAGAAAGCAATGACGCACCCCCACTACCAATGATCCAAACCGATGAGGACCTGGACGCGGATGCTGAACCATTAGAAATGGAAGATATCCGATCCCCAGGACAACTCAACGACGACGAGAATCGATAGTCAACGAACCGAATGAAATCGTTGAACCGAAAATCGAAACGGAACCGGTTACACACCCTATCGTCGAAACGGTAGAGGAACGGAACCTACTACGGACCAACAGCCCTGGAACAGATCCCAGGAGTGGGTGTTGAAACCAAGCGGCACCTGAGCAGACGCCAGGAGTGCGCAGGTCTAGTAGAGTGAGGACACAAGCAAGGAATCGTATATTCCCAGCTTTGATGGAAAGAAGTATGAGACGCCAAACGTCCATACAACTGAACGTGTCTTGCACCCAGATGCACACAGTTCTACACACAGGTAGAAGAAGAACCGATGTGGTAGCAGCCATCATGACACATTTGTCATTGAAGGCTGGACCCAAGGAGTGGAAGGACAAGCGCACGATGCAGCCTTTGCCGAGATGAAACAGTTACATCTCATGGATACCTTCCGTCCGAAGAAAATGGAAGAACTCAGCGAATGTGAACGCAAGAGTATCCTAAGTCACACCTTTTCCTAAAGTTGAAAAGGACGGGAAGATCAAAGGCCGAGCGGTTGCAGGAGGCAACAACAGCGTGACTTCATCTCCAAGGAAGACGCAAGCTCGCCAACAGTGTCGACAGAAGCAGTGCTACTATCCTGCATAATCGACGCTGAAGAGGAAAGGGATGTGGCAGTAATTGACATCCCAAACGCCTTCATCCAGACAAGAGTCGAGGATGAAAAAGACATGGTAATCATTAGAGTAAGAGGAGTACTAGTAGACATGCTGTGTGAAATAGCCCCAGATGTCTACAAACCGTTCGTAACAACGGATAAGAAAGGCAACAAGCAGTTGCTACTGCAATGCTTGAATGCCATCTACGGCACTATGGTAGCTAGCCTACTATACTACCGTAAGTTCCGGAAGACGATGGTCCGGAACGGATTTAAGATTAATCCTTACGACCCACTGTGTACCAACAGAATGGTGCACGGCAAGCAACAAACAGTCTGCTGGATGTAGACGACTGTAAGCTTAGCCAAAAGGACTCGAAGGTTAACGACCAGCTGATCCAATGCTTCGTGATGAATACGAAAGCATATTCGAGGACGGCACTGGAGAGATGACGGTGAGCCGAGGAAAGGTCCACACGTATCTTGGCATGACCATAGACTTCACGACGAAGGGTCAATGCAACGTTATCAATGTACAAGTACGTTGATGAAATCCTGGAAGCCTTCGAGAAGGCATCGCCAGAGGAAGGGGGCACGAAAACTAAGAAGTAGTGCAGCCCCGAAAGACCTATTCACAGTAGACGAATCCTGCAAGAAGCTCCCAACGAGCAAGGCAGACACCTTTCACAGCCTGGTGGCTAAGGTGTTATTCGCTACGAAGAGAGCCCGACCAGACACAGGTACGGCGATATCGTTCCTACGACTAGAGTCAAGGAACCAGATAGGCACGATTGGGATAAACTAGTCCACTCATGCAGTACATTAGACGTACTAGAAAACTACCATTAGTTCTCAAAGCCGACGGAAGTGGCATATTGAAATGGTATGTTGATGGTTCTTTCGAGTCCATCCAAACATGAGGGGTCACACCGGAGGTGGTTTGACCATGGCACCGTTACCCATTATCGACTTCGACGAAACAGAAGTTGAACACGAGAAGCTCAACTGAGAGTGAACTCGTAGCAGTTGATGACCTGATGCCATCGATCCTTTGGACGAGGCAGTTCCTTCGGAGCAAGGCTATGTAGTTAAAGAAACTATAGTCTATCAGGACAACAAGAGTGCCATTCTTCTAGAGAAGAACGGCAAAGCTTCTAGTAGTAAAACGAACGAAGCACATCAACATTAGGTACTTCTTTGTGAGCGACAGAGTCGCAAAGAAGGAGATCAGTGTGGATGGTGTCCAACTGATGATATGGTTGCGGACTTCTGGACGAAGCCGAACCAAGGTCGACTGTTCAAACAGACGTGGACAAGTTGATGGGTGTTGTGGAACACTCAGAGCCAGGGCACTCAGAATGAGGGTCACGGTCGGACAAGAAGGTCCGTTCAAAGAAGGAGCGCTAAGCGATAAGTAAGTAAGCATGGTCACGACTAGGACAAGCTCGAGACCACAGGAGTGTGTGGGGATTCGCGATTAGGGATCAACCCTGTACCTCTGTACTAGAATTTCACAGTAGAAAAAGCCAAGACCCACTTTTTCAGTAGTATCTCAATACAACAGTAAACTAGAGAGCTTAGAGCAACTAACAGTGTCGCCGTCTCATCAATACAATTGTCGCCACAACCAAGGCGAGCGGCAGACTGTGGAGTCGGATTGATCGTGGCAATATTGGTACCAGGACGGGTACGAGACAACTAACTCAAGTTCTGCTATTGTTATCAACATTGCCACAAGTCTAGAGGGTCTTCGAGAAAAGAGTTGTTGCTAGCAGCTAGAGTCCGAGAGGAGCAAATACCATCATTTGTAGCGGTGCATGCCCCGTCATTTCGCCCCAGCACCCTACCGTACTGCCCTTCGTTGCCCAACGAGCTACCGGTAGCTACTGGCAAAAAGGATAGACCCCTCCAGCGTCCCGATATCGATTAAACGGTCACCCGTACCGGTATCCAAGAAAATGTAACTGCTCGAGGTCACAGAATCGTCGCTCCCGACACTCTTCTTTCGCCGGCTGCGCCGCATTTCAATTGCAGCCTTGATGCGAGCACGGAGTAGAACATCTCTGGAAGAGCTTCTCGGCTCAAGCTTGAGATCGTCGTTCTCTTTCTGCAAGGCGTTGTTTGCCGACTGCAAGTCCTTGATTTCCGACTTGAGAAGGGCGACGTATTTTTCCAGATCGCAATTGAGCTCTGCTTGCGAGAGATTCGAAGGGAGGTCGTCCTTCGAACCAGCCGAAGGACATGGCGTCGTATCAATTTCTGCTTTAGTGTTGACAACGTCAATTTCGTCCTTTGATTCCCGAAGAATGAGCTCTTCATGCGGGAGATCATTCGAAGGGAGGTAGTCCTGCGAACCAGCCGAAGGAAGGGGCTTTCCTTCAATTTCCGCTTTACCGGAATTGCCGTTCTTCTTGCCGTCATTGACTTCCTTCTTGGAGCGACGTCGAATGGCGTGAAGACCGAAAGCAAGGCAGAGAGCAACGATCCAAAATAAAGCGACGAGAAGATCATTTGTCGAACGCCACATGATGAAGAAGCTTCGTGACTCGTGATGGGTGACTTTCCGATACTGTTCGCACTGCTCACTGAATGATGATGATGTGGATCAACACTATGGATCGAGTGGCTTTCCCTTGAACTCTGTCGTCGTTTGATGCCTGGAGTTGTCTTCGTCAACGCGTCGAGAGAGGAAGTTTGGACGAGACGAAGCGCCTTTTTGGTAAAATAAAGGCAACGACGATTTTGATTCGATTCGATGTATGATTCGATTCGATTCGATTAAATTCGGTTCTGACTGACACTCGATAAAACATGGTTGGATCCACGACTTGACTAGTCGCGTCAGGAATGTTAATCGTTGAATAATATTTTGGAGGCAATCAACAACCCTGTCGGATGCAATTAAAAAATAAAATAAAATAAAAAATCAAAGAACCACAAGCAACAGTCGAAGGCAATCGCTTGCCTGTCCTTTCGCTTCACATCCCGGTTATGTCGTATCACATCGCCAACAATGTCATCTGTTCCGGAGGAGCTCACAAAAACTGCAATCGACACATTGTGAAAGGAAAATGGAAAGCAAAAGCAAAATGCTCATGGCTGTCGGCGCCGTGATTGTTGTGGAGGTTGGATTGATCGCTTATACACTTTGCAAGCAGCGCAGGTACATCAAGAGCTCGGAGCGCAAGGAAGACTTGACGCAAACAGTAGGCGAACAGGCGTATGTGGTGTTTTCTGATTGGTACCGTCTTGAACGCATGCAAGAAGAAGAAGCTTATATATTGGAAGTCCTTGAGCAGAAGAAGGCGCGATATGAATATTACAAGGAACATGTACCAGCTGTCTACGAGAAGCTGAGGTTGGCTGGATGGGTTAAGTAGTGGACGCACGTGGAGAGATCTGGAGACAAGCCACACCCAGCTCCACACCCGGCATCTCAAGGACTCCTTTCGACAAAAATCTGCCGCTATTGAACGCCAAAACAAGCAGACGCCAAGCCAGAGATCCAACACAGGGTGCTAGTATGCCCTTGTACCGGTAATCATCAGGGTTTCCTTGGAAAAAAAAACATCATTGCAACCGATACAGACGCGTCTGACCTTCTTTCTAACATCATCGATAAGCTCTAATGCATAACTATAGACAACACTTACAAAACAACTACAAAACTATACCTTTTCTGCTCGTCTGAATTCTAGTACAGCGAGCGAGCGATCGACTTGACTCGACGGCCACTTTCCAGAAAGAACGAGGTTAAAAGTCTAAAAACACTCGTCGTTTACATTTTCTTCAGGCACCTTCGCCCTGTTCTACTGGGTATAAAAGCCTCAGTGACAGCCCCCTAGCCAGCTCTACTAACGATAAGCTCCGCTTCCCACCCCTTTGAAGACAACTTTTCGAATGCCATCCAAAGGCGTCGCGGGGTCTCCGTTGATATAATAGTTCATGAAGTCACTCCAATTGGCCTTGCCGAGCTTGTTGAGGACTTGTCTCAGAGTGTGCGATGCGTCACTGAGTTCAACCACGATATCAAACTTCATTGCGAAACCACCAGTGTCATAATACGGATCCTCAGCCGACTCCGTTGCAACACCAACCACCGAGGAAGCCGGTATCGAAAAGCCGTCCTGAGAGAAAACAAACTGGAGAAAACTAGACACTTGCGCCAGCACGGTTGCAGCCTCCCCGTCTTGCAACATGCTTTCTCTTCCAGGCGAGAACTCAAAGTGCAATGTTGTAGGAACTACAATGGTATGGGTTTCCTTTTCAAGTGCGCCAGAAGAGTCACCGTGGTCGCTTCCAGATTTGTCAACAATCGCGGTGGACGATCCATCGAGGACCTTTCCAGATCTGTCTACGATGACAAGCCTCTTGGACTTGTCCACCTTGCCAAGTGCGTAAGAAGAGTCACCGTGGTCGCTTCCAGATTTGTCTACAATCGCGGTGGATGATCCATCGAGAACATTTCCAGATCTGTCCACGACGACAAGCTTCTGGGACTTGTCCTTGGCTTTTGAATGGACAGTTCTCGGCTTGATTGCCGCTCCAGATCGATCTACAGCACTTCTCCCCGCCGACCTGGAGAACCTTTCGTTGAAAGCGACTGAATTGACGTCATAGAAAAGCCCCCCAGCCTCCCATGCATAGTCAATAATGAACACTGTAAAACAACAACAACATCATGGCGTCGTCAGTCAACGACATTTGCAAGAAAACGATCCTTCTTCGCACTTTTCACGTACATTGGTAGTCAGCAGCCTCCATTGCATCAAAGATGTCACTGCTGGTTGGAATCGAACTAGCTTGAGGGGGTCCTTTAAAGGTAGCCACAAGATCAAAGTGCACCACCAATGGGAGGCCCTCCTCGGGATCGAAGTCAAAGTCGACGTTCCGGATCGCGGCACTTTTAAACTTTCGATATTCATCCTCAAGAACTCGTTCCTCATAGAAACGTTTGGTTTCGGATATCATGGCTTCCAACTCGGAGGCTGTTGGCTCGCGCAAGTCAGTTTCATCAAAGAAACCATATTCAATGCTCGCCTCGACAACGACCTGTGATGGCGGAACCCTGGCGGAGAACTGCACTTCCTGAGTGTCGAAAAAGATGTTCCCGGGTCCTACGTTCCACACATAGAGAGTGATGAAGTCTGTTCGTGCCATGGAGCAAGGGAAGCAATTTATTTTGGTTAGATAGATAATTTGAGAAACTCCAGTAAATCTTCTCGGTCCACATGTCTTTCTTACCAATATAATTTGCGTTCTCCATGACAATGAACATTTCTTCTTTGCTGGGGGCATTGCTGTTCGTGAAGGTTGCCACTGCATCAAAGTTGACTTGCACGGGAAGGTTTGCTTTAGAATCAAACAAGTCCTCGAGATATACCAACTCAATATCATCAAAGTCCACAAAAGCATCCTGTAAGACGTCTCTGTAGAAACGCTCTGTTTCCGCCATGAGCTGTTGAATCTCTTCGTCGCTGGGTTTTCGTATGGTCGTTCCAGAAAAGAATCCATACTTGATCTGAGACTCGACGACAACCTCTTCACCAGCCGTTGTGCCAGTGGGTACTATGGATCCAGAATCACCCATGGTCGGAGCTTCCGTGGGCTCAAAGGTGGGGACTAGTCCACCCATGGTCGGAGCTTCGGTGGGCTCAAAGGTGGGGACTATTGTGCCTGTAGAACCCAGAGTGGGTGCTTCCGTGGGCCCCAAAGAGTCCCTGGCATCAAAATAAACGCTTTGAACATCAAAGAATAATCCATAGCCTGCATTCCAAACATAGCTGACAATGTAGTCTGCCAAGAAATAAATGATAGAGATACGCTGAGCAATCCTGGCAGCGGACCATGCAAAACAAACAAACACACAAAAGGACCGTTTCCTGTATCTTTCTCACCTTGATAGTCTGCAGCCCACATAATATCGATAAGGTCTTCTTCCGAGGGTGGATCGCAATCGTCTTCAAAGTTGAGCTGGGCATCATAGTCAATCTTGACTGGAAATGAATCATTGGGATCATCAGAAACTCTGACTTGTACAACAACAATTTCCAAGTCATAGGAAGAAGCCAAATCAGCGTCTAACTCTGCCTTGAAAACACTATCGTAGAACAATTCCGTCTGTGCTCTGAGGTCCTCCACTTCGGATTCCGTCGGTTCTCGGATTGTTGTCCCTGGAAAGAATCCATATCCAAGTGAAAACTCCAGAAGATTCCCACTGGGGATTTCACCAGCCAAAGTCGGAAGCGCAGACGGAGCCTCTGTGCTGGGATTAAGGATTGGCGGCAGAGTAAATGCCGGTGGAAGGGTGATACCAGGCGGCAGGGTAAATGACGGTGGCAAGTTGATTGCTGGAGGGAGATTTATCGCGGGAGGAAGAGTGAACACAGGCGTGACTGTGGGTGCTTCGGTGGAAACAGGACCTGCTGAGGGAGCCTCTGTGCTTTCGTGGGTGGCCCAACTCGGGGTGGCGACAAACAGAAGAAACACCAAGAGCCGTGCGAGACGAGCACAAGAGCCGTCCAAAGCCATCATTTTCTACGTGTACTACAACAATATTATAAGAACAGCCAAATGCGTGGACTGAATTCAAGTTTCAGAAATGTGAGGTAAGACGACAAACGGCAGCAAAAACGATACGAAGAAGACCTGGATGACTCGCATTCTGACAGAAGCATTAGGGTAATCTTGGATACAAGACACACTGGGCAACATACTGGACCGAACAATGACCTTTTACTCCTTGATTATTCAAGACAGCAAGGCTGCAATACGGCTTTGACGGAGTACCGAATCATCAATGATTCATTCGATTTGATAGAATATTCGAATAAAATCCATTCGAATATACCTCATCCCTAATGAAGTCGCCAGAGTTTTCTCCTCTTTTGCAAATGCTCTTTTGTGAAACTTCGTGCCATCAAATTTTGGATCTTCTGGATCTTGGCTTTGTGCGTCATGTCCCACACGCCTCCTTTACCGGTACGCACATTCATCGACTCCCACTTGCAGTGCTCTTTTCACTGGTATGGATGAAAAAAGCACTCTTCAGTCCCAGCTCGAGTCCCAGTTTTTCAAAGATTCACTGGTAAAGCTTTGCGAGTATAGAGGGACGAGTACAGCCAGTCACAGATCGGACGATGCTAATACCAGGGACAGCTGCTCCTCGAACCATCCATTGGAGCTGAGAAAAGTCCATTGCTCCCCTCTTCAGAACCCCAGAGCTACTTTCATGAACCACTGAGGCGACAGGGGGTATTCAAAAAGTAGGATTTGACCGTAAAGGAATACTCAGTCACACAGGCAGCGAGACTTGGACTATAGGTAATAGTCCAAGATACAGCTACTCGTCCTTGAGCAATCCTTGCCGCAACTACGAAAGCACTCTGGAAGTGAAGCTCTCGAAGATCTCTATGTTCCTGGCTGATGTCGAGGCAACTGTGATCCACGAGAGAAATCAAAAGCAAGGGGTTGAAGTGCGTTTGCTTAGCTAGTCCCGATCAAATTGTACATCTAGAAGGGGAGCAATATAGTTAGCCGAAATTGGCTGTTGCGGTGGCTCCAAGGAGCTCGTGCACGTCTGCCTAATTGAAGTACCATATCTCTTCCGAAACCCAGTTGCTGTTGCCAGTACAAACAAAAACCTTGAGGAACCCTAGTAGTTTGCTTCTTCTTCTTCTTCTATTTTGGCTTGTGCCTTTTGTATCGTTAAGTGCCTGACAACCACGAGCGAGCGATCACCCAGCTTTTCTTACCACGGTAGTGTAGGTTAGCAGACTGGGCTGTGTGTTGGTCAAGCTTGCCAACAACACACCATGGCCCAGGAAAACGACGTGATAGCGTTGAACTCCGCATTGCATGCTTCTAGCTAGATTCTGTGTTGCGCCACAGCTTGGCAACTCTACAAAGCTAGCACGCTCTGCATGCCTAGCTAGCTAGTAGGCTGCTCTGAGATCTGAGACCCATCGGAAAACCATTCAGGTAAATCAGGGTGCCGATAGATAGTCTGCATGTACTGGCTGTAGCTAGCTCCGCAGCTCTGGCTGTAATGTACCGGGTGGAACTGTGTTCGGACCTTTTTACGGGGGTTTCTTGTTCCGATTCAGTCCTGGTTCCCAATTAAGGGGCCTCCGCGAGGCCGCCAACCACCATTTAATAAGCTACTGAAAGGGAGGTTGGAGGATTTAAAGAGGCAAAGAAATGAGCGCTTGTTCTACAAAACTTACTTCTTCGTTTTTCTAAAATAGTATCGCCTTCGAAACAACAGGATCATTTCTGGAGGAAGTGCACACGCACATCATGTCTTGACGATTGCCGTACCGTACAAGTAAGTGTTTGGGATACCCCACCAGGCCAGGCTCCCCGCAACCCACACACCTACCGTACTCCGAGTTTTTTAGAGGCAGTATCCAGTGCACAAGTTTCGCCAGCGAACCCAGGCACAATAGTAGGACGTGCTTGCAAGCAAAGCAGTTGATTTCTCTAGGTTCTTGAAGGCCCTATTTTTCTGTTTCGCTTTGAGTTGATCAGACACCGAACTCACGACAGAAAACCAAGCCTTCCAAGAGGGTCACAATATCTGGACTTGCAAAAAAGCACTTGAGATTCTTGCAAACGACTGAATGAAGCAAGATGCCTCAGACCAAAACTATGGAGAAGCTTGCGATGAAGGACGAGGAAGCTACGAAGTGTTGTAATGATAAGGAGCAGCAACTGGGTGCTGTGGGTTTGCCTTCACCGTTGCCAATGGACATTACAATGGGACGGGGAGGGATGTCTAACAATCACTCCGGGAACAAGCTCTCAAGAGAGATTGTGGCCATGTACTATGGCGCTTTCTTGCAAGCTCAGGGACCCACATCTCGTCGCAAAGACAAGGGCGTGGTTGTCAATACGGTGTACGAACACTTGACCAAGGAGGGCTTTCGTTTTGTGTTAAGAGTAAACGGCCTGTGGGTGGAAGCTCCCTTCTGCAAAGCTCGAGCCAAGATCATCCAAGCGCTTCGGGAAGGATCCTTTGATCTAAGAAATAACGTGCCCTTCTCAACATCGGCGGCAGCCCGGAAGAGACTAAGGAAGACGAAGGAGAAGACGAAAGTTTGCAAGAAGTCGCCTAAGGGTTCCTCTCCGAAAGCGCAAGCTATGCACAAGAGACCCAGCATTACTTGCGGCGACGAACCTTCGGTTGTCACTTTGGAGACGTGTGATAGCAGTACCGTAGACTTGCTCGAGGAGGACAAGTTCTTTACCAGCGTGGAGATGGTAGCCAATGGCGAGGAAGAGACGATTCAAGAAGATCTGGAACCCCTACCGCTGCAAGAAGACAGCATGGAACCTCTACCTTTGAGCTATGATTCTGACGAGAGTGAAGTTACGTTGGATCTCGAGCCTCGGCCATTGCCACCGGAGCAACCCCTCGTTGTCACCACGCCCTCTTTTCCTTCAACACCTTCATCTTCCATGGGCATTGGTGACGACGAGGCGTGTCTCGATGTCCTGCCTGAGCTCATGGGCCTAGACTTCTAGCCCACTTATTTGGCATCTATCTTTTTACATTGATTGCATGGTATTAGAAAAGTTTCAAGTTAATAGTAATGTTATCCTGTTATTAGACGTGACTTGCTTGGCACTTTGGCCCAAGGACGGCGAAATGATATCTAGCCGACAAACCAACCAATCTACCCTCACTCTTTGGCATTACCATTGACTGGAACTTTAGTGATGACCCCGCAACGTGCTCTTGTCGACATCACAAGTCACAAACGCTTGCAAGTTGCAACTGAGATACAAGTTCAATCACAGGAGTTCGACAGGTTTTCAATATCCAGCCGGCAAGAGGCAAGGAGTCCAGTCTCCAAAGGGATCAACTAGCTAGCCAGATCCAACTTGAAAGGGCCAACCTGAGAGAGCCTGGGGTTTGTTGCTTTGCTTTGCAGAGGTGAAGCAGCAAGAAAACAAAGGTCAACAACATCATCAACCATCGATCTCATGTATGATAATAATAATAATAATATAAATGCTGTCCAACTGTGACTCACCACCGCGAATGTCGCTTCCGCGTTTCGAGACTTCAATCGAGTCATATCCTTAATAATTAAACAGGAACAGGAAAGCTCTCGGTAACTTCAACCTCGTCTCACTCTTCCACGACGATACCGCTACGACGATACACCTGCTTTTTGCTTGAGCGAACCAACTAACTGTCTTTTGCATGGCATGTTCGTGGTTCCCTTTTTGTTGAGGTTATTGTCTTTGAGAGGGTTCCATTTTAGTAGGCTTCTTTGAGGTGCTGGATGAGGTCGATGTATTGTAATGGGGTTGGGAGTACCGGTATCCTTCGTCGGGTAATTCGACTGCCTCATAATAGCTACCGTACCTGGTACCGTAGCTACTGGATTACCGGTAGACTTCTTCGGCTGCTTCCATGCCCTTTTTGAGGAGTGCTTTTTCAGTCAGTAGATTGGAAATTGGAAGCACTTGAATTCCTGGAGATCGTACAGTACTAGCTATTACTGGTGAATGGCAACGGGCAGGTTGGTTGATTTTGTGCTGCCGTTGCGCCGCCACCAGGACTGTTGGGGCGTGTTCCTGGGTGTGCTGGATGGGTCTATCCATTGATTGCCAATGTAGAAACTAGCTACTAGTACAATAGTAAAGAACTAGATAGGGAGAGAGGGGGCTCTTGATGATCAGCTGAATGAACGAGTTGTCCATGTGGAGCTTTGGCTATTTCTGGCTGTACACGCCTTCTACTGCTCCAACCTTCAGCTGCAGATGTCTTGGGATACTGTAGAGAAGGTCCCTGTATCCATTGCATTGCTTGAGGCAAAGCTTTGGAGCCCATGGAAGCAAAGTGTCAACTCGTGGAGCGATTTGGCTCGATGGATAGATCGACGATCCGTTGTCGCCCATCGCCCACATGCACAAAACTACCTACTTCTGTCTTTGGAGCCTCATTTTTGCCCCGACGACGGACGGGCGGTTCCAGAAAGCCATGTTGCGGTGGGTTGGCAGGTGACGGCAGATTTTGGTTGCCGTTGGAAGATATCGCATTGGAAATGCCGATCCCACTGTTATTAACTCTCAGCAGAGCCTGTATCTTAGTCCAGTAGTCGATTAGCAGGTGACAATCAAGAAGACGAAGACGATGATGAATCAGTCGATGCGGCTGCTGTTTCTCTCTTGTGGTGCTTTACTTCTTAGTAGCACCCTTGCAGAGGAGAAGGAGAATGTGTTGACGCCAACTCGCATCTCTTTTCAATCTCTGGAGAATCTATTGTCGTTGGATCATCCAGACCACCAATCTCATGTGGACCATATTTCGTCGGTGCTGGAAGGCGTGGGACTCTTTTCGATTACCGACATTCCCTTGTTTCGAAAGGAAAAACCAGAAACTCTGAGAGAACTACCGAAGTGTGTCGATGCTCTCTTATTGAAAGGACAGCGTGGCATGGCAGCTCGTCACGTCTTGGCCGATGGCACCATTCGCAAGACCATTGCTACTACAGGGGACGATCCAAACTTATTACTGTCATCACCATCATCACTAGATCAACGAATTCCTGAGGCTTGTGAAACGTTACAGCAAGTCAGTGGGGCCTTTCGATCCACCGTGGCTGAAGTGACCAGGACTGTAGGTCGAGTGCTCCTAATGCTCCAGTCCAAATCATCTCAAAACAGCAACAACAACAACAACGACAAGCCACTGGTGCTGACTACCAAAGAGGGCGACAAAACGTACAATCTGGCCGAAATGGTCACTTATGGAGAACACTTGGAGCATTTCCATGTCTACAACAAACCAAATAGTACTAGTACTACTACTCATCCAACAACTACCATTGACTGGCACACTGATCAAGGACTAATGCTCGTTTTTAGTCCTGGAATGATGATCATGAACACCCACAACCAACAACAACAACAACAAGACAGAAAAACTACCTTTTACCAACAAGAACACGATTTCAAAATTCAATTGCCCAATGGAACAGCCATGTCGGTACAATTCGATCCCATCAAGGATGACTTGGTTGTCATGTTGGGACAAGGGGTCGAGCAATACGTTTCTGGCGTCAACTTTCGTGCTGTGCCCCATTCGCTTTCCCTACAACAACAACAACAACAGCAACAACAATCTACTAATAGTAATCGAGTCTGGTATGGACGAATGGTATTGCCTCCTGCAGATGCCATTCATCCTCTCTTCCATAATAGTGGACAAACCTTTGGCAGTATTCGACAAGAACTCATTGCGGCACGCAATAATAATAATACCACTGATACATCCATGTCAGTGTTGGGATGCAGCAGTAGTAGCACCACCACTACTACTATTGCCAAGCAACAACGCCAATTGCAAGACCAAACAGAAGAAGACTGCAATCTGGAAACGCAACACTTTTGCTGGCATACATGCATCGACTACTCACAAGACATTTCGCCTACGGCATGTGCCGCGGCCACGGACGATCACGTTGTGGCTTGTGTAAACACAAAAACTGATGAATTGTGGCCCGGAAATCACAATCCAGATTTTAATTTGGGATGTGTCGCCGCAGAGCGAGTAGAGGCTTTCTACAACAACACCAGCACCAGCAGCACGGAACAGGAAACAAACAGTAGTAGTAATGAGGGACATCAAGACAGTCATTCCGCAGCAGAGGGTGGTCTCGAAACAGACGATGCCAAAGACGACCAACTGACAACAGCTCCATCTAGTAGTGCCACCACGTTTACTGGAACTATGGGAAAGACGACATTTGCAATGCTTCTGGCTGGACTTGTGTGCATTTTCTAGCTGCTGCAGAGTAGCTATAGCGGGCCAGCCCTTGTTGGCTGTGCCATTTGTTGGTGGGCGAGCAACCAATCTCCTTATTGCCCATCTTAAAATTGTTTGATCAAGTTGTATTTGAAAAGAATAGATTTTTCTCATTTCTGTGCAATTTCTACCACAAATGTTCAAGGTTTTTAAAAGTAGCAATAACAGCGTCGGTGGAGCTCCAAGATGAGTTCCAGATCAGCAAGCCCGATCCTGCAACATTCTTTCCCTTTCAGTGTCCAAACATAATATTATTGGTGGGTTGGTCCGCCCCTTGCAACTTCAATCTTCTGTTGGCACGTGCAGAAAGGGCTAAGAGACGAAGGACGATACTATTTCTGGTGGTATGGTATTGATTGCAATGTTCTGAGTTGAGTTGCGGGGTGTTATCTATCTGCGCTCCTACATAGCTCGAGGTGCCTTAGACACTTGTGGCTTAGATAAATTCTGCTGATTGTTATCTAGACTAGTGTAGGTTGCTTGGTTTTGTGCCTATGAGGTACATGTATCTGTACACAGTAACGCAGCATAACAAGAACTGATCAAACTCCCCAATCATACCGGTAGCATCGTAGCCGCTGGCGCGAATACATGTCTCTACGACGCTGTACCAGGGGCCCCAAGGAGTTTGCTGGGAGTTAACTTGCTGCCAAGAAGGATGACTCCCACGAAGGACCAAGTAAATGTGACCGAAGTGGAGCACCGCGGACATGCTCGAAGTTGGAATGTTGCGAGACTCGACTCTTCGAAGTGGAAAACGCAAAGGTCCCCTCCAGTGCCGCACCAATGAATGATACCGGTTCACTGACGATGTCGTTCAACATCTGGAAATGGTCTCAAACGTACCGTATTAGTAGTGTTTCCTGGCTTACTGCAGATTCAACAAGCAGAGAATGACCCATATCAACACGAGGTTTGGCGCGACGGCGTGTTAGTACATAATATTACGTCACTATGTAACTTGCCCAAGCCTCCTCGTGGCTCTTGGTGCCAGTGGGGTACCTGATCAATGTTGAGTGGTAGCTAGTTTTTGCATAGCCACAGTTTATCATGACGAAGAGAGAAATTTGATGCATCCACCGCAAACCTCACATCGGAGCCGGGACAGCCACCGCTGGCTGGTACTGAGGGAACCTTTGCTGCACTCTGGGCGCGGAAGCAGCATCCACGACGAAATAATGTGAAGGAGGACGGGGCCCGCAGTTCCGGCGTTGAAAAGAACAAGGAAGGGCATTGACAAAAAGGAACAGTAGTAATGCAACGACAGGACCCACGTGGGATTCTTTGCTTTCATGGTGACAGTACTTACCATCACTGCGGTTACAGTTATGGGCAATTCTACTAGCTAGCAGCTGTACGTAGCAGCAGAGACT